TTAGAATCAGTTTGTTGATATCCATGAAATACCTTGCTGGGATTCTTATTGGGATTTCATTGAACTGTAGATCAACTCAGGATGAGTTGGCATCTGGACAATATTGAATCTTCCTGTCAATGAGCATGGGATATTTGTTCATTTATTTAGTTCTCCTTTGTTTTTGTTCATGAGAGTTTTGTAGTTTTTCTCATAAAAATCTTGTACATATTTTTGTTAGATTTTTATCTGAGTATTTAGTTTTGGGGGATACTAATCTAAATGGTATTATTCTTTTAACTTCAAATTACATTTATTCATAGCTGGTATATAGGAAAGGATTGACTTTTGTACATTAACCTTGTATCCTGCAACCTTGCTGTAAGTGCTTATTAGTTTCAGGAGTTTTTTGTTGATTCTTTTGGTCTTTTGACTTAGATTATCTTGTCATCTGCAAACAAAGGCAGTTTTACTTCTTCCTTTCTAATCTGTATGCCATTTCTTCTTCTTGTCTTAATGCATTAGCTAGACCTTCCAGTGTGATGGAAAGGAATGTTGAGAGAGGGAGGTCCTTTCCTTATACCTGGTCTTAGTGGGGAACCTTCAAGTTCATCACCACTTAGTACAATGTTAGCTCTTTTTTTCGTAGATACTCCTTATCAAGTTGAGGAAGTTTCCCCCATTCCTAGTTCACTGAAATTTTTATCATGAATGGGTGTTGGAGAAGTGATTTTTCTCTACTTTCCTCCTCCTTCTTCTCCTTCATCTTCTTGTAATAGCTTTATTGAGGTATAATTCACATACCATATAATTTACCCATTTAAAGTATACAATTCAAAGGTTTTTAAAATATTCATAATATTATGTAACCATTACTATAGTCAATTTTAGAACTTTGTCATACCCTAAAAAGAGACCCAACACCCTTTAGCAGTCACTCCTGCCTCTGCCCCCTTCTTCTCCCATTCCTAGGCAATCACTGATTTGTTTTCTGTCTGTAGGTTTGCTTATACTGGGGATTTCATATAAATGGAATCATCCAATAAATGGTCTTTTGTGTCTGGCTTCTTTCACTTAGCATAATATTTTCAAGGTTGATCATGTTATAGCATGTACCAGAACTTGATTCCTTTTTATTGCTGAATAGTATTCCATTGTATGGATATACCATATTTGTTTATTCATTCATCAATTCATGGATGGGTTCTTTTTTTATTTTTTACTATTATGCATAGCAATATTCTGAATGTTGGTGTATAACTTATTGTGTATATGTATGTTTTTTACTTCTATTGAATATATACCTAGAAGTGGAATTGCTGGGTCATATAACTCTATGTTTAATCTTTGAGGAACTGCCAGAGTTTCTCATAGTGGCTGCACTTATTTTCTAACAGCAGTGTATGAGAATTGCAGTTTCTCTACATCCTTGTTACCAGTTGTCTGTCTTTTTGATTATAGCCATGCTGGTGAGTGTGGGGAGTGGTACCTCGTGTGGTTTTGTTTTGTACCTCCCTGTTGATCAGTGATGGTGAACATCTTTTCATGTGCTTATTGGCCACTTTTATGTCATTTTTGGAGAAGTGTCTATTCAACTCCTTTGTTCATTTTAAGGTATTTTTATTATTTAGTTTTAAGAGTTCTTTTTATGTATTGTGAATACAAGTCCTTTATACAAGAAAATATCAGAAAAAATATTTTCTCCCTTTCTATGTGTTATATTTTAACTTTCTTAATGGTGTTTTTTGGAGCACCAAAGTTTTTAATTTTGGTGAAGTCAAAGAGCTCATTCTGGGTGCTGTGTATGAGCATAGATTCTACGGGGCAAGTGTGGAAGCAGGAGAGAAGTTATCAAAAGAACATCACAGTGATCCAGCTGAGAGGTGTGATGGCTTCATCTCAGGCCTGGCCGCAGAGTTGATGAAAAAGGGTCAGGTGTGAGGTAGGTTAGGCAACAGAGCTGATGGATTAAGGTGCAGGATTGTTGTAGAAGTGAGGCAGAGGGAGAAATCAGGGATAATGCTAGGATTTGAGCTTAAAAGATTTTGATTCAAATTTTGATCATGCACCTGCTACCTGCCACAGAATTGTGGTAATTTTTAATCCATGCTGCGGCCTGGTAAGTGAGCCCTGCACTCTTAAATATGTAAGGAAGGATCTTTACACATTTTCAAGTTGCTTTTGGTAGTATTATCACTGATTGTGCTAAGGAGTCGCTCCAGGAATTTTTACCTTCCATAATAGCTATTAATATCTCCTAAGCCTTTATAATAGAGCTGACCGTAATCTAAAGTGGAATAGTGTACTGTTGTGCAGGTGAATTTTTGAGGCAGATTCTCTGACCCCCTTCTCAACAGACCAAAATCTCAAAGCCCCTCCTGTAGAGATTTATGGAGCTATCAGTGAATAGTATCAAAACAAGTGAATAAATGTTTGAAATCTAAATGTCATAATTTGACAAAGCTACTCTGAGGAAAAAGATTTTTAAAGGAGGACATAGTACCAGCTGACATTTGTGAAGTACTTCTTCTGCTTGCTTCCTAGGAGATCTTGTCAGAGAAAGCAGAGATTAAAACATTTGGTGGAGAAAATTTTGGTTTATGCATACAGCGTGTTCTCTGCAGCTTTTCTATACAGTCATTAAAAATCTGTTCTAGGGGAATGCTTAATGACATGCAAGTGCTCATGATTTATTAAGTGAAAAGCTGTGTGTGTCTACACACATGTGTGTCTATAGGTATATGTCTATATGACATATTTCTCTGTGATGGGATCATGAGTGGCATTTATTTAATTCTTTGTCCTTTTCTGTATTCCTGAATTTTTATGGTGAATATTTATAACTGTTATAAAAAGAAAATTTAATTTTAAGAACATTACACGAACTGTGGTGCATCAGCATGTTCATGCACATGCACCAACCAAAGAAACAAGACCTTCATTGCTCCTGTGCCACCTTCATGCCTGAAGACAGATGGTTGTTGAAATGGGAACAACCTCCTCATCTGTAAAGTGCAGATACCAGTGGAGCCTGCCTCATGGGTTTTTCATGAGTATTTAATGAGTCGGTATCTTAAGGACAGTTTCTACTAGGTCATAGTGTCAGCTCTTGCCATTACTGCTCTTGTTGTTTTAGTTTTAGTGTCTCATCTTTGATGATCTGCATGCTTTGCTGAGATGTCTGCCCGTGGCTGCCTGTGGCTGTTCTCACTTGAGTTGGCTGTTTCATTTTCATTTGATTTCTGGTCATGTGGGTCTTGCTCATCTTCCTGGAGTACTTGACCAACCAGCAATCCATCTTGCCATTGAAGAGTTGTGAATTTATGAACCGTGCTGTGGTATGTTCTGGACCTGTATTCACCATCCAAATTTCTGTTGCAACAAGGCACTGAAAATTGTGACAGCAGGCAAATTTCTGAACCTCCCAGAAAAGAGCATGCATTAGTCAGTGTTCCATCATGGAGGAATATGGTTGCTTTTGTTCCTTTTAGGAACGTCCACCTAAGTCACCATGCTTGTTTCACTGTATTGGCTCTGGTGACTGTCAAATGAAATAGGAATTGAAAAATGCTTGGGAAACTGGACAGGCTACACAGATTTAGGGGATTGTTATGCCAGCATTGATTCGAGGCCATATTGGAGTAAAGATGGTATCTTGCTGCTCTTCTCTTCTTGTCACTCATTCCTTTCTTGCAGATTCTCCTTTTTCATAACTCATTCATTTGTTCAGGAAATACTTCCTGAGCACCTCCAGTGTGCCCGGCCCTTTTCTGAGTGCTAGGGATCAAGGGGTAGTGAGGCAGATGTGCTTTTGTGGGTCTCACAGACCAGTGGGGGGAGGGAGGCCATTTGAGGGGCCTTGCAGAGGAGGGGACATCTTAGTAGAGACCTACATGCTGTGAAGAAGCAAAGCTGAGTGACATCTGGAAAAGAGCATTCTAGGTAGAAGGAATAGCCAATGCAAAGGCCCCTGGGTGAGAAGGGGTTGGTCAGTCAACTGTAGAAATAGAAACCCCTCAGTTCAAGCACACGGCAAATCCGGCATCCCAAGAAGTTTTTACTGGAGGGGCTTGAAAAGTCTCCATGAACCTAAAGGCAAACCTAGGCCTCCAGGTCTGATCAGGTACGGAGCAGTCCCCCCCGGAGCTGTTGCTCGTCTGCCCGAGCACTGTCTGTGCTATTGGAAAAGGCCCAGGACTTGAAGGGAGAGACCTAGATTCAGTTCAGGTCTTGACTGTGTGATCTTGGACAAGTCTTAGGACCCTGTGGCCCTCAGTTCCTTCATCTCAAAGTCGGGGATCATGCCACACATTTTATAGGGTAGGATAAGGATTAAATGAGTGAGTGAGCACATCATAAATTATAGCATGCTATTAAAGGACTTTGTATCTTTATTGAGGGAAGCTTTGAATCCAGAGTGCTAAGAGGTATGGGTCTCAGTGTGGATTGGACAAGAGGTGCTGTGTAGCTGAGGCTCTGAGCAGCTGGGAACCCATCTCTCTACCATCTCAACACAGCTTTTATCTGTGTGGGATTGCTTCCCTGTTCTCTAGTACAGAGTGTCTTTCCTGTCTCTCTTTTCCGCATTCTGTCCTTGCTGGTGAGCTTCATAGTTCAGGATGTTTCCAGTGAAGCCTTTTCCACACTCTGATTCTCTCTCCCTCTTGCTACCAAGACCCACAAATTAGCACCAAACCACATTTGGTTTTGTGTATCTTCACTGTTTCTTTGGCCTTCCTGGCTAGGTCAAAGTTACTTGAGGATAAGAACTGTTTTTAATATTCTTACACCCCTCCATAGCATTTATTACAAAATAAATTTAAGGGCCAGTATATATTGAAGTGCATTTTGAATTTAAAATACTTAAAAGTGATCTTAATGACACCTGGTTTACTTTCTCTATTTAATTAAGCTCCAGCTATAATGTTTACCCACCTGAAAGTTTCTTGTTCTTACTATTAAACATGACTTTTCTTTGGCATGACTAGACATTGAGATAAATATAATGCCGTGTTTTTTAGCCTCCAGGTTTCCCTAGATGCTAAGTAAAATATTCCTCTTCTGGCCTGAAGATCATCTGTGGGAACCTTGGCCATGGCATCAATATCAGAGCCAGTTACATTCAGAGAGTTCTGCCCTTTGTACTATCTCCTCAATGCCATTCCCACAAAGATCCAGAAGGGATTCCGCTCTCTTGTGGTCTACCTCACAGCCCTTGACACCAATGGAGACTACATTGCTGTGGGCAGCAGCATTGGCATGCTCTATCTGTACTGCAGGCACTTCAACCAGATGAAAAAGTACAACTTTGAGGTGAGTCTTGCTTTTTTAAATACCTTGGCATGCATGAGCCATGCCTAATGTTTAACATGCCTGTGAATTCTAGGATGGGGTAATTTACTTCTGACTTGATAGAATATGTTGTAGTGTCGCATAACTAAAAATGTTGATATTTTAAACTTTTTTTTCCTGCCTCCAAAAATCTAGCATCACTTTAAAAGAGAATATTTTAGCACTTAACACTTAGTAGAAAACTTTGCAAGTAGGTATTTTTTTCTAAGTGTTTTGTTTCTCAATGTACGTTGACTGGCTGACTTGAATAATCTCTAGTTATTCTGTTGAAATTATTATGGAAGTAGGATTAGTATCATTATTGGCTAGCTCCTGGAACATGTACATCTTAAATAAGATCACTTTTGTAGAGCGCTGCCGTTGGGATCCTGACAGACCTCTGTTCTGCACTGGTTGACTGGGCATGTCTGTGTGTTGTAGATATTGGTGGACGCCAGCAAGAAATATTGATGGACCATCATCGAGGTTACCCATTTAGTCATTATCCATGGTTTACTGAATACGTGACTTTCCTGAGAGACTCAAATGTGACTGAGTTATGGATCCTACCTCACTGCCTCATGGAGTTCTACTCTGATTAGTGGGCTTTTATAGACTAAGACAAGGTTTTTGTGTTTAAGAGAAATGCTTACAAATATCTGTATTTTAATATTCAACTTATTTAAGTTTTGATTTTTAAAAATTAGTTTTCCTTAAGCCTCTATACTCAATTTAAAATAACAAAATAGTTAGCATGCATACATAGCACTTACTCTATGCTAGCCATTATTCTAAACTTTTACATATGTTAACTCATTTCATCCTCACAAAAACTCTATAAGATATTACTGTTACCCCCATTTTACCAGGGAGACAGCTGAGGCACAGAGAGGTTAAGTGACTTGCCCAACACCAGGCAGTTAGTAAATATTGACACATTGTCAGAACTTGGGCAGATTGCCTCTAGAGTTTATATTAATACTTTTGTATAAAAATTTAAACTATTTGCTGTTTCTTTTCTTTGAATAATAGTTCATGGTTTTGACTGATTAAATTCCCCAAATATTCAAGACCATTGCTTAGTTAACCTCTAAAACTACAGTTATGAATTTATATCTGAAATCTCTCAAATACTTCATTCTAATGCTTAACTAGGGAAACTTATGGATCCAATAACAAACTCCTAGCAGAATAAACCAAAGAAATCCCTGTCCAGACACATTGTAATCAAACTGCTAAAAATTAAAGACAAAGAAAAATATTAAAAGTAACCAGAGAAAAATGATGCATCTACTTGTAGGGAACAATGATTTGAATGACTACAGATTTCTCATTGGAAACCATGGGTGCTAAAAGACAATGGTATGATATTTTTTAAGTACTGGAAAAAGACTTGTCAACTGAGAATTCTTTACACAGCCAAACATATCTGTCAGGGAAGAAGGTGAAGTAGAAATATTATTAGATGAGGGAAAAGTAAGGGGATTCGTTGCCAGCAGACCTGCTAAAAATAATTGCTTTGGAAAGGTCTTCAGACAAAAGGGAAATGATACCAGAAGGAAACCTGGAGCATCAGTAATCAAGGAAGAATAATAGTAAATATCTGGGTAAGTACAATAGGCTGTTTCTTCTGTCTTGAGTTTGTTAAAATATATTGACAATTAGCAACAGTTAAACATTGAGTTTTCAATATGTATAGATGTAGTAATATATAAGATACTTATAAGGGGGGAATAAGGTGAGGTTGATGGTGATGGTATATATATGATGATAAGATTTCTGTATTCTACCTGAAGTGGTAAAATATTGAATCTAAATAGATTTTGAAAAAAATATGTTTTTATACACACACACACACACACACATATATGGTAATCATTAGAGCAACCACTAAAAAAACCCTATACAATGTGCTATAGTAAAAATCACTACAAGTATATCAAAATGGGATTTAAAAATATGTTCAAACAATTCATAAAAAGCAGGAAGGGGGAAACAGAAAAGGGAAAACAGAAGGAACAAACAGAAAACAAAATGATAGAATTAAATCAGAACATACCAGTAAGTATATTAAGTGAAAATTATCTATACATACCACTTAAAAGAAATTGTTGAAATGGAGAAAAAAAATCATGAACCAAAACTATATGTTGTCTGTACATGCAGTTCAAGGTTAATGATATAGGTAGATAAAAAGTAAAAGGATGGGAAAAGATATACCATATAAATGTTAAACAGAAGAAAATTGGAGGGACTATATTAATATCAAAATAGTCTGAGCAAAGAAATAACTAGGGATAAAGAAATTCATAATGATAAAAGGGTCAGTTCACCAAAAAGACATAGCAATCCTAAATGTGTATTCAACTTAACAGCAGAGTTTCACAATATATGAAGCAAAAACTGGCATAACTGAAAAAATAAAGAGAACCACAATTATAGTTGGAAACTTCTGCACCCCCCTCTCTTAGTAATAGAAGTAGTAGACAAAATCAGGCATATAGAACTGAACAACACTATTAATCTAACATGATCTAATCCACATTTACAAGTGAACATGGAACATTCATGAACACAGCCATATTCTGAATCATAAAACACACACCTCAACAAATTTACATCAGAGCAGGCTTTCCAGGCTCTTGTGTTTTACTTTGTTTTGTTTTTTTCACTTTTTAATTGAAGTATAATTTACATAAGTGTACAGATCTCCAGTGTACAGCTTGATGAGTTTATGTGTATGCGTCAGTGTGCTCACCCAGCTCAAGATACAGAGCATTTCCAGCAGCCCAGTAGACTCCCTGTGCCACTTCCCAATCAGTATTCCTCCCCCAGGCACCTACCCTCTTGACATCTGACACTGTAGAGTGGTTCGTAGTAGTTAGGCTAGCCTGTTGGGCTTTAATTCACTGTTGTGTAACTTTTGCCATTCTGGTTTACTGTTGTAGGGTTTTATTGTTGTTGTTGTTCCACAACGTGTTTTCGGATGGAACTGGGAAGAGTAGGACACAGAGCAGTGCAATAAGGTTGGAAAGGGGGATGGGGCTCCCAGTGAAGTTGATGACTGGGACCTGCTCCTGGGGTGGGATCGGTTTCAGGATGCTTCAGGGCTGTGCTGGGAAGGTCCATTAAAGGGTGCATTAGGGGAATTTGGACCTCTTGCTCAGGTTGCAGTTACAACACAGTTCTCTTTTATAAAACATGTCTCATTGATCACCATTTTATCATCTTTTTTTTTTTATAACTACGTAACTGTTTTTAAAATTTCAGCCATCGAACTCAGAAAAACTTAAGCAAACAAGAGTTTAGCACTCCCCAGAATGAACCTACAAATTACACCTGACTGCCAGTTTTATAGTTTTATCCCATTTAGTTCTCTATTTATGATATGATGAGCCTCATAAGCTTTGAAGGAGTGTGCTGTGCTAGGATGGCCTCTTTAAGGCTAACCAGAGTTTGGGGGATCTAGTGTAAACTACTGGGCCCATCAGACTAGGAGGGGACTCCAGGAAAAATCCTGTGTATGTATTTTCAGCTGGTTTTCCCTTACTGAGGGTCCATGAAAAATGTGTTTTACTGGGGCCAAAATAAAAAATTCTAAAAATTGTCTATTACTAAGAATGTTTCCCTACATTGCTTGTATAAACACAAAACACAAAGATTTGTTTTGAGCTTTGCCTCTCAAGTCTTTGGCTGTGTGATCCTAGAGATGAATGGACTATTTATGTCAATGTTATTGTCATTTTGGTCTTCAGAGCTGTGTGACTCTGAGTCATTTGGTACAACCCCCCACGTTTTATAGATAAATGGTAAGATTCCTGCTCCTGGTCACAGAGCTAGCTGCCTAATCATTGTGCTCACTTCTTGTTAGGGAAGGCAGGGCTTCCACAGAATTCTGGATTTAGAGGACAGTAGAAACCAGCTTCAGGGTCTCTTTGGAATTTCCATGTAAAAATTGAGAGTTGCATCAACTAGTTTAATTTAGGGAATATCGAAGATTTCGTGGGAAGGTAAATAGAAATAAAAGTTAGTTTACCCTCTAATAAATCCATATGGTGTGGATGAAAGATCACGTTTTTAAATTAAATTTTGTTCCTAAAGAATAAAGCAAACCTTTTATGTGGTAGATATAGCCTGGCATACATTTTCAAGAATAGTGCTTTAAATCTTTTTCCTACGCAAGTTTGTGGGAGAGGGCAGATGGAGACACAAGAAATTCTTCCTAGATAGTGTCAAAAGCACTAAGAAAATGCTGTGAGGAGCAACCAGTACAAAAATGTTATAAACTTGTTAAATACATAGAATAGACCAGAAAGGTAACTTGGTTGAGTTTCTAATTTTTCTGTTTTGAAAGTATGATCTCTTTTCTTAGCATTCAGCAAGTTGTTCAAATTTCATGGATTTGCCTTCAGAACTGGCTTAGCATAAACCACAGCAATGCTAGTTCTCATTTCTGCAACTTGTTTTCCCAGTGAATCTTTCAGTAAGTATTTATTGAGAGCTTACCATGGGCCAGGCCCATTTTAGGTACTGGAGATGCAGCTGAGAACAGGACAGGCAAAGTCCCTGCCCTCTCAATATGGATTGCTCCCATTCATTAGTTGCTGGGAATTTAGCTTTCAATTTTTTTTATAGTGACTTATAGTAAAAACTATGTTTTATTAGATGTCCATTCTTCCTAAATTGACATAAATTCAGTTTAATCCCAAGTTTTTTCTTTTAAATGGCAATTGAGAGGGTGATTTAAAAATCTGTTTGAAATTGTAGTAGGTCAACGAAGGGTCAAGATACTAGTGGAGAAAGAAGATGGGAGAAGTTGCTATAATGGGAAATATAATGGGAAACAAGACTTATAAAGCCTCAGTAATTAAGCCAATATGGTATTAGCACAATAATAGGTAACCAGATCACTGGAACAGAATAGAGAAGCCAGAAATGTATGTGAATCATTTGAGTTATTGCAAGGTGATACTATGAAGCTT